TAGACCAAATTAAATTGATTATTTTTCTGAATGACCATATTGCTTTAATGATTAATTGATTTTAGGGACCCACAAAACCCTCAATATTTACATTTAGGTTAGGTAATTTGTAAAATCAAAGTATAAAAATTAATTATTAATTCCATTGCAACACGATCGATTCTCGTTTTTCAATGATACATTCATCCGATTCTTTTTAACTAGTGAAAATATCATTCAAAGTTAAGAAAGGATAGATTTCACTATTTAATGTGGAAATTTTAATTTGTTTGCTTTCCGGTAAATATGCAACAAAAGTGGTATGTGATGTATGTACGTGGAGAAGTGTGAAATGTTTATTTTATGTATTTATTTTTGTTCTTTACAATGTTTAAAATGTTGAAATTCAAGGTTTTCGCGACGGGCTGCGAGAAATCATAATTTATTATTCTCCAAATTCCCTTTGCAACGGACGGGACGACTCAGCGGTGTACTCAAGAGATTTTGCGGTGTCGTAAACTTCCTTTCGTGGCTTAATTCCTGTATTATCAAGAGTCAGGTTGTCTAGCCGCAAATGGCATTTTCCAGAAATGTGTTTCTTTGCTTTACTTCAAGGAGAAAAACTTTCCCACGTCCGTCATAGTACCAATCGTCACCAAAAGTTGGTGTATTGCAACCAAATGATATCAGTGAAATTATTATTGTTAACTAATTTCTTCTTCTTCTTGATGTCAGTAATGTAATATATTTATGTATAATTGCAATTAAATCTATAATTTCATCTGACACCTTGATTTATCGGACTATTTGAAAGGTCACCTTTTTTAACAGCCATTTTTTCTTGGAACCGGTTTTTCCACCCCAAAAATTGCGTATTTTTGACGGCCACGAGGAAGTAGGGAAGGTTTTATCGTCTGCGTAGTACATTATTACATTCAGAGAATGCCGTTTCTACTGCAAAGCTACTATTGTTATCTCAGATGTTGGCTAAACACACTTGTAGTAGTTTCAAGGATAATTTTCCTTCGCATTTCATTGTTTTTACTTCTTTCGATCAGGTGTTTTCGAGCTTTTTCTTGGAGGTATTCGTATCACTTCGTCTTGTGCGTTGCTTTCCGCGATTGTGCCAGACCACCCTGAAATCCAATACAATTGCCCATCGCTGTGTATCCATTTTGGTGACGACTCCTTCTGATCTTTAATCATACATGAGTCACCATCATTTATAAATCCAATGGGAAAGTCTAGGGTCTTACTCCTGACGGAAAATCGCAGACCAAGAACATACTGCTTAATCTTTATTATGATCCTCAGAACAGAAAACTTTTCAATAATATCTTAAATGATTGGTAACGAAGATGAGTGATAATGATATGATTTCACTGATAACGAAGCAATGGAATGATGACAGGGAACGGGAGGATCTTGAGAAATCCTGATGCGGAAACGCTTCGTTCTCCACAAACCCAGAGGCCTCGCCTGTATACTGTCTACCCCGATCCGATCCAGACCGCTTGGTTCGCCTACCACGCCACAATCACAAGGGCGAGACATCCATTGCATTCGCGGAATTAGAAACCGGCAATTCAAATAAAGTGGCTGCCGCCGCTTCCTCTTTGGGGGTCCGCGTCTAAGTATATCCACATTACTAATTTCCAATCCACGTCAAAATTGAAAGACAACTATGCAGCCTCCGGCCATGTGAGAGGTGTATGGGGTTTCGTTAGAAATCCATCAACTGGGAAAAATTGCGAAAACAATTAAACAGTTTCGATTTTGACTGAAAAACACAAATATTTTATAATGATTTCCGCCAATTTTCATACTGCCCGTTCCGACTCAATCTTCATACTCAGTGCGCAGTTGCTTACGTTGCTTTCGCAGTTGCTTACGCTTGTTCAATGCGTTTGCGATACAGATGACGTTATGTGACTGCAAGGTTCTAAGGAAGAGGCTGCCCGCGAATAAATATTTGCTATTCACGTGTTGCGTTATGGAACAGTGCCTTTCTTTATGTTCTTGATACGAAAAGAATTGTACTGTGTATATACTCGTACTATTCTGCGTTGTTACAGAATTCGTGAATAATGTTTTGGATAAAGTATTTAATTAATTGCAGGGTATACGAGTGTATTTTAATTGTTCTTGAGCAATGTGCGTGTAAGTTTTTTGGAAAACCATTTTCTGTGATTTTGTTCAGAAGCATTTTGCTGCTGTAGGCCACTAGCATCTTTGGAAGTACAAGTATACACATACTTCCTTGGGTACTTGCGGCAACCGTCAGAGATGTAGACAACCCTCGCTCTTGGACATTTTGGACCATCACTGAGTTCTGAGCGAAATTCTCGTTTCGGCGGTTTTTGAGGACACCAGAATACATTTTGCCTCGTTTCGCTCAATAGGCGATTTTGGGCTTTGAGCATTGTATATCCAATGCAATTGAAATTGGATGTCAAATTCATGTGTTCTTGTGATACTAATGCCGTATTTGGTGAATGCTCTGTCCTAAGGGAGGATGCTTTGGCATGGTATTCCGAGCGATATGTTTGAAAAGAGATCTACTTCTTAAAAGCTTTATGTGTTCTGCCCAATTGGCCTTTTATAACAGCAGCTGCTTCAACAAAGAACTTCGTAGAGTTAGATATTATGTCCATGTGTCTATTAAATATGGACAAAATCAAACACCTTTACTTGTAAGCCTTATAATTGACAAGTTATTTTGTGCATCATGCCTATGTGCACGAATATTTAAACCTAAAAGTTACAAGGTTTTGTCGTTCCTTTCTCTGTAATTACGAGGATAACTACGCTAACTTCTGTCCCCCATTTCGTTCTCAAAGATTTTCTTCCTCACTTCTACAGGTTGATCTGCAACCCTCATGATATCTTTCTATATCTCTTATTCTTATAAACATTACTTTCAGAACTTCTTAATTGCAAGAAGTACTTTCTTCTTATCAAACGTTCTTATTTCTCATTTTTCCTGTACTCATTCGCCGGTAGAAGCAGGAATTCTGTCTATTGTCTGATTGTTGACTGTTGAGACTTTTAGTTGACTGTTAACTGTTAGTCTGCTGACTGCCAACAGACTTTCCTTTTTTCTTCAGCTTTTTGTTTTCACTATTTATAGCACAGTTCACTCATTCCTTCAATTCATTTTCATGATGAAGATATTTCATTTTAGATTAATTTATGGCACTTCAAAAATGTATAGTTCAGTTACGTAAGTTATACCATTAACAATGTTTTCTTAGTTGTGAGGTAAAGTACACAGACAGTTCTGTACTCTGGGTATTATGTTCACCTCTTTCATAATATCTTGTTAATGCTCGAAAATTTTCTTTCGTGTTCGTTGAAGGCCGTTGTTATATTTTTTCTAATTTACGTCTTTGTGCAAAGACTTCAATTAATTTGATTAGGTTTCGTCCAGTCGATGTTCCTTTCGTGTGGAATGTTATCGGTTCCTGTTGTATCCGACGTAAAAGGACCGCGCCGCGAGTTATCAGCAGCTCGTATGCAGTTTCGAGTTCCAAATAAGGCTTTATTATCACGCTCATAGTTAACCAAGACTTGCCGTTGTACTTACTGTAACAGACATGCCAGCAAAAGCCAAAGACCTTGAACCAGAGAAAGCCCCCAACAGGAAAGCAACAACACGTTGAAAAGATTGGGAGTACTGCCCAGTAGGGTAGCAGCCCGAACTTCTCTATTCCAGGCTCTGCAAAAGGAAACCATAAGTTCAATATCTACTATAATTTTAGTCATGCACACTTGTCGCACACACACATTATTTCATTTATTTTTGTTAGTATCAACTTAATCATATGAAACTGTTTCATATTCAATTAATAGACCTACTTACGACAGATACATTGTGGTTTTATCCCAAGTTCTTAAAAATACATATATTAAAGATATTCATCATTCATTCATTCGTTCATCTGTTTATTTATCTATTGTCAAGAAAAGATTAAAAACTGTGAGTGATGTATTATGGAGAGAAGTGTATTTTATGTACTACATTTTTTTCTAATCATCTAATATGTAATAACTATGCCATATTTTTGACCTTCAATTGCTGAAAAATACTGGTTTAAACAGTATTTTTTTATATTATAGAATTTATCAATTAATGCATTGCTATATTAGTTTTGCAGATTCCATATTATATAGAACATTGTTGTAAGGTCTATATTTTTATTTAGGTACTATTATTCATAAATAGCTATTTCTTCCGTTTAGTTTTAATTTCTTCCCTTTACGTGTGGATGCTGACTTATCATCAATGAAAATATATGTATTTCAGCCATTGTGTCAAAGCCATTTATTAAAACATACATAACAATTATGTACTTACTTTAAATGAAAAAATCGTATGAAGAAGAGTCCAAAATATATTACATACATTCAAAATAATATATGTAAAAATGCTCAATGTTTACTGTAGTAATTCAAAAAAGACAAATAGATTTAGGTATTCAATGCCTGTTATAATTTTTTTAACCATTTCCTGCAAATATACCTAGTTTTGAAATTTCAATGAAGTATTTGAAGAATATAAATGCATACCTCAAAATACATTGTGTAGATTTAAATAAATTCATTGTTTTTCTTATTCCATTCTAACATTCTACTGAACCTTTGAAAAAAAAATTGTCAGTGACATAAAAAATAGTTAATGAAAAAATAGAAATGGATATGTAAGAATGTTACTGTTTCATTTATATTTAGTATAATTAAGTTTTAGTTTTAAATTAAATATTTTAATATTAAATTTAGAGTAAGTACCCAGTCCAGGGGCAGACTTAAGTAATCAAAGCAACTTTTTAAATGTTAGCAAGTTAGTTCAAAAGTCCAAAAACATGTTGAAATGAAACTGAAATGAATATTTTCACAGCTGGTCTTGAAAGTGGTCTTGGAGTTGAATGATGTTAGGAGAGGCAGTTTACAAGGCTTTGACACTAGATCTTAGTAATAAGTGCTAATTTCCTCAATCCATGAGAAATACATTGCTCACTTTGCACACTTTGACTACTTGCTTTCAATATTCAAAAGGGACACATTCGTCATGGCTTGTGCACACAGAGATCTTACAAGACTTTATTTCTGACCTCTCTGCTTTATCTCCGAACTCCTTAGGACTGTCCACACTGAGAGGGAAAGGCATAAAATCATGTTCCAACTCTTTTCCAGCATCTTTAATTAGAACATCTTTCACCCACCTAAAAAAGAATAAAAAAACAAGAAAAATCAACAGAAATAACATTTATTAATTAAAGAGAGTCTTTATTGAATCTTCTGCAGTCCCAAAAATTAAAATAGATTGTTCTACATTGAAAGAAGTGAGAATGTTCAAATAGCATGTGTTCAGATGTTTGTGAAGATAATACACACACTTATAATTTGTTTACTTACAATGATTAGTAATATTATTAATTCATGCATGCCTACACTCATTAAAAATGATAACTATACAAACATTAATGTAAGTAAATAAATTCTCTTTTCCAGCACAAAAAATTACTTCAATTAGACTTTGACATTTTGGAAATATTGAGTCAATAGGTATTGTAATCTAAACCAGTAGTAAGTGGTAGTAAGTAGTAAGCCAGTAATGTTTATACATTGTTGTTTACTCACCAAAAAGTGAATCTGGACAGCAGATTAGGTTTATGACCAACCTGAAGTGTGTCAGCCATGCTTTAGTGGTTCCTCAGAGCTAGTATCACTAAACACTACCTGCATTGCTGAGAGCAGCAGTTACATAAAGAGGTGAGCTGGAGACCCTCTTCATCTCCACTACTTCAGAGCACATATGTACTTCTTTTTGTTGCCCAACCTGTTTCACAGACAGTATGAGCAGTTTTCCTGTGAACATATGGAAGACTGGATCCAGGGGTGTACAATTCTTGTTTTAACCTTGAATGCTCAAGGAGAGAAACCTACTTCCTGAGATGTTACTGAATTCATTTATTTCTTTAGTGTGTATTGCATGTGAATTTGCTTGTATGGATAACAGGTTTTGATGTTGTGAAGTGATAAAGTAAATATATATTACTACTTAATTTAATTACTATTTTGTAATATAATTTAGAATAGGGATAATAGTTCTTTTTCTTTTTACTAGCCACTAAAGTCATTGTAAAGTGCATGTAGTTTACATACTCTTTTCAAGGCTTGTCATCAATTATTCAAAGTAATGGTCTTATAAAATGTCGTACACAATAAGATATCTCATCAAGAGAGATACAGTAATACTATGTCCTGTTTGTTCTTACCTAAATGAGTAGGCACAATTTTCAAGAACATTTTGTTTGTTCCTTGTTATCATTTAAGCCATAAGCTGCGTACAAATGGATTTTAACATCTCACTGTACTCTCAGAACCTACAATTTGTTTGTAAGATAAGGTGAATACGATAATAGCACATCAGCCTTTCTTTGGATAGTTTATTTTCAGCTGGTATTGTTTTTCAATATTTCATGGAGAATACAGGAAGAAAATCTTTGGAAAATTTTTTACTGTTTTTTATTTGTATTTTTTCATTTATACCATTTCCAATTTCAAGAATATAATATTAAAAAAATATAGATATTATATACAGGAACAGTGTTGAATATTTTACAACTTTTTAGGAGTGATATTTAAGATTAAGGAGAAGAAGTCATCAAACCACAAATACATATATAAATGTTTTCTTCAGTTAATAAAATCATTAATAACATAACAAACAAACTAGTTCTCTTTTATCAAGCACTACAGCATGCAATGTAGTGCAATCTTTAAATAAACATTTTAAAATATTCAAAGATTAGATGATTATTAAGATGATAATTTATGATATAAAAACCTTAAAAAATTCGTCTCAGATAAAGTGGTCAACTATGAAGTAGTAATAGCAAATTTATAGGAATATTATGTGCTACCTTCAAACTGGAAATTCTAAATTACAAAAATATTGCAATACAAAATCACTCTCTCAAAACACTTTAATAAAAAACATTTTCAGAAAAAAAGATGATTAATAACAATAATGCTTATTATTTAATTTTCATTCTTCTGTGTGTATTGAACAAGTCTTATTTTCCAAGGCACATCATTATTTACTGTTGTACAAGACTGTTGAAAACAGTATTTCAAAATTTGGAAAGTATGAATATCTTTACGAACATGAAGAATGAGCTTCACTAAATGATTTAGACACAAATAGAATTTTTGCAGGGTAATGATTTTTAAACCTTAATTTTTTGTTTTTGTCTGGCAAATTTTAATGAATTTATTTTATATGTAAATACAAGCATGCAATTGAAATTCCCTGTTCAAATATTTAGCTCTTCCCTCCTGCCCATCTCTATCATTGATTCTGTTTGCAAATGTTTTATATTGATTCTTACTTTTTTTTATTTTGTTGCCAGCAAACATGAATCATAAAAAGTAAGCCTCAAGTAAATATAATTGTTCTTACCACCTTTAAACTCTCCAAATCTCATTTGCACAAATTATTGCACAATGATGTAATTTTGTTTATTGAATACAATACATGCTGTCACAATTCTAGACAGCAAAAAAAATTTAGTTGATCTTTAACATATCTGAAATTTATTAGCTCGATCAGAGGAATCAGACATGACAATATTCGTGAAATAAAATAAACCCTCGTTAGCATGGACATGCTTAACACAAAATTCATCGTCAAACCATTAAAATTCCTGTCAAAAAGGTTCTGCAAAAAAATGTATAAAAATCAGATAAAACAAATTTTTATAAGAACAACACTGATTATTTCAGTCCTTTGAAATTAGTTTAAATGAGAGTGTACTGTACAAACAAACTCTTCTAAGTAGGATCAATAAGATGGTAATTGCATAACATTGATTGTATACCCCATTATTAAGGGTGTATCTTGAACTGTAGGTATCTTAAACATAAGAAATTTCTAAAAATATTCGATGTTATTCCATTCTAAAACTATAATGTTGAATTAATCTGTGTAATAGAAACAAAATTACATGAGTCGTTATTTCACCCTATAAAATGACATTTCCTTCATGAGGCCATTTGTATGGGTGCAAATGATGATATAAATTGTTTTCTTTCTTAACATTTGAGTTAGCGTATAATCATGGACCACCAAAATTATTTATCTGAAAGTTCTGGAATATTGCTCTCATTATCTTGCTTCTTTCGGTAACACTGCAACAAAATATAAATTTATATGGAGTCATTATTGAAATATCAATTCATCATGTTTGAGAAATTCTTTTTAAAGATAGCAAGTAGTTATAAATATTTTCTTGGCAGAAAAAATTATATAACTTACATTTTCTGCAGTAAGTGCTAATTGATCTGCCATAGCACGGCCAGTTTCTTGAACTAGAGAATAGAAGGGACCTTCTTTATTTTGAAGAAGTATATGGGGGTGATCATATTCCTGAAAATGTATATAATTTCTGTTGAGATTGAAAATTCACTTTAGAAATAACTCCCCCCCAAATAAAATAAGATAAAATTAAAGTAAACTATTTTTTTTAAATGTTTCTTTTGTGATTAAAATATCAAGCATATTTTTAATATGAAAAATATTAATTCATGAGTGAAATAGCTTTTTATTACATAACTAGCTTAAAAAAGCTTACCATGGGAGATGTGTCTGAAATGAAACAAAACCTAACACACAACAATTAAAGAATCTTTAATTGAATAAACAATTAAAATGAAAAAAAAAACACTAAAGAAGAAAATGCACATTTTAATTTATAAAAAATGTTTGTAAATTAAAATTAAATTGACTAAGTGTCCTTAACACAAATTTTGATAGGAAGTAGTCTCTTTAAGCTTCAAAATGAACTCCTGACCAACCCTTTTGGAGGTCTAGCGACAATTAGAACAATACAGTAGGAGAGCCCTCCTGCCCCATAGCTGGTCAAAGGAAGGGGGGAACCCAATTTTTGAGATTGTTTCTTCCTCCCCACCCTCCCTTGTAAGTTTTCTGATGAGCCCTCAGCCACCACCTAGGTGGTTTGGAGCCTTTGTAGGCATTTAGCTCTGTTTATTTGATTTTTATCTTATTATTATTAATAATATTCATTACACTGTTTATTTGATTTTTCTTATTAATCTAGTTAAATTGGTCATATAAGTTAGTTAAGTTAGTCATATAAGGCTTATTTAAAATTTGATTTATATTTTTATTATAAAATTAATTATTTAATCAATTTAGCGAGTATACACTAAAAATTTATTACTTACCACCATTTTTCCAGAATCCATTACAAGAACTTTGTCCGAGTCTATTATTGTATTGAGGCGATGAGCCACTGTCATCACAGTGCAGTCTTTAAACTTGGCACGAATAGTGCACTGGATTAAGGAATCTGTACTGTGAAACAAGAAATATGTCCTTAAAACCCAATAATTGTTGAGAAACAACTTTTAAAAAAAATATTTACAACATTTTCTCATTTCCAATTTTTTATTTTATTCTTTGAGGTGACCCAATATTTTTCTAATGTTCTTTATGTTATAAAGAAGATAAAGAACAAGAGAATAAAGACACATGCAAAGCAATGCAAAATATCTGCGTGTAAAGTTTTATTTATTTTGCTTGATAAACTACAATAAACATAATGAGTCTATTTCAGTTTAAAACAACATTCTCAAGCAAGCCTTTTCTGAGAACTCTGTTCGTTTGGCAAGAAATGCTACTTGGTAATTTTGAATTCAACACAAAAATCAAAAGAATATTATTTATTTGATTTATCTGTGGGTAGGATGTTGAATTTTGGACATTTGATTTTGTTAAGCAATGCAATACTAGTACACAGTTTTTTAAATCTTTATGTCGTTTCAGCTGAAGGAAGTAAATTACAAAGGGAAAAGGTTTCTTTTTCATAAACAAATATTACTTCTTTTAGAAGAAAGAGATTGTTCTATACAATTAATTCAGTATTGTTCCTTGTTTTGTAAATGGTTTTCATGATGACCAAGGAATCTTACTGGTAATTTACAAGTTGTGGAAAAAGGAGTTTTGAAGAAAGGACCTGAAAAAAATCAAGAAGGATGCAACTTTTGAAAAAAAACAACCAACAGAAGATTGTGGAAAAGAGATCTTATCTACAAAGAAAAAGACGTCCTTCATAGATTTAAAATTTATTGTTAATTGTTTTCATTTTGTGAAGCTGTTATTGTAACAACTTAATATTTTAAAATATGTTTAAACCTTCAAGGAGTAAAGACATTCTATGCATTTAAATAAATATTGTTCCTTGTTTTGTAACTGGTTGTTTTGGGGTTGTTATTCTTACGTTTTTGAATTAATTATGTTCGAATTTCTTTTATGTAAAATTTGTCATTCTCAATCTGGAAGTAAATGAATGAATATCTATTGTAGAGTTATATACATTAATGTTACAATCATATCTTCATTCTTTTTTATATATTAGAATATTAGCTGAGCAAAAATGAAAGAATTTTACATTTGTTCATACATTTTATAATCTAATGCCAGGTCACATTACAAAAATTATTTTCCTCTAGAAGGGTTAGTTTAGTTCACAAAAAATTACCTACTTATTAATTGTGATTTGCAATGTGCATATTAACACAAATCATTTAAGTTTCAGCATTGTAGTTAAATACTTCTTTATTTATGAAGTAATATCTAATATCTTATTGTCCAGTGAATTTTGTTAATTTTTTTAATGAAATTGTATTTGTATAGGACATACAGTAGTATGATTTGTTAGGATTGATACTCCAAAAACTACAATGGTTACAAAGCATATACCAGTAATCCAGCTTGGAAAATTATCTACATTCGTAGTTTGAATGGCATTAAAATAAAACCCATAGTTATATATTTGTCAACTT